GTGCCTAGACCCCCTCCTGATAATTCCGTGTTCCCTTCCCCCTTCCCCCCTCCGCCCGCCCCCTTCCTCTGGCTCAGGGACTGCGCCAATCACGCGCGGAAGGTGAAGAAATATACTTCAAAGCGGCACGATCGAAGACGAAAAACACATGCCTGGAGGGTTTGGGACACACGCGTCGCCCCCCACATTGCCTCCGCCACCTGTCCGCCCATCCGGCGCCTTCCCGCCCCGCGTCCCCATGGCGCTCGTGCGTTCCGCTCTCCGTAGCCATTTGGGCTCAAGCGTGTCACGTTTCTGCAACGTCGCTAGACAATTTGCGCCTGGCGCTGGTGCCATTGCATTCTTGGGAGGACCAGCCGAGGCGCGCCGACGGCGCGCCATCGGCGCATTCATGGGAGGACCAGCTCGGCGCGATGGCCGCCGACGAGCGGCCGTCAGAGTGTGGCGATTACGACGACGACCCAGCTGACATGTTCATTGAATTATGCACAGGGTTGCTGTTGTCACGCGAGTTGAGTGCAACTCAAATTGGTTCGCGGATGCACTACGCTGGTAATGCTGGCATTGACAAGGCCGTCAAATTAGGCATGGAATCTGGCTCTCACAGCGGCACCGAACAGCTCATAATAAACGAGCACACCGGCATAACCCAGGACCGTGACGAGATGCATTTATTGAGTATGCCATGCTTCGACAATTCGTCGCTGGCACGTTCTGTTCGGCAGGTGCCAATTCTCGCGCCGCATGAACAGCTTGATGTCGGCGCGGGCCCAGATGCCCGAACGTCCCTGAGAGAAGCAATGGACAACAATGAGCTGCCCAATTCGCATGCGCAGCACCCAGTTGTGGTGAGGCATGGTGGTCGCGATGGCCCCGTTCGGCCTCTGTGCCTGTGCCTGGGCGGCGTTCCCTATTCGCACGCCGACAGCGCCATTGGCGCGTGGGCGGAGGGCTTCGTCGATGGGACACGGAACCTCGTCGCGGTTATCCGCGAGAGGTCTCTCTGTCGATGCGGTTGCAGAGGTCGGTGCTCGATATCAGTGGCACTGTCGTTTGTGCGACGGCAATTTACGGCCGTGGCCGACATGCGCCACCCAGAGGTGCGACGCCACGGCGAAGCGCGGGTCGAGTCTGACTAGCAGAGACAAGGGCGCGCGGGCACCGCGCTCTCCATGCGTTCGCGCCTTCTCTCTACAACGGGGGACTGGGCCGAACATGATGGGGCGATGGGCCTGCCAGCGTGGTCTGATCTAGCGCGGCCGTGCTACAGCTGCAATGCTCACGGTGCTGGGATGCATCGCGTCGCTGGCGCCTGTCACACCGCGTTCCCCCGCGGGGAGAACCTGGGGCACGAATGCCGCGATGCCTGCAGCCGTTGTGAAAGCATTATTCCGCTGACCCCCCATCTCGAGCAACTTACAGTCGATGTGGGCAAGCTGCGCAATGACAAACGGCCAGCTGGCAGCCGCGGTCGCGCACTGCAAAATCCGGTACCTCTGCTGGGGCTGGAACGAAACTATAGGCTGGAGCCGTGCCCAGACTTCCCAGACGTGGGGGAGTTCCAGCAGCTCGACATGTCCACCATCAAACAAATAGTTTTTTGGCGCCAGCCGAAGGAGAAATTGACGCGCCACAGGAATCCGCTCTTCAGCGCAGCGCTGGGGCTTACTGCGCGGCGAACGTTGACGCCCGATTCGCTCCGCACCTTATATCTCGGAGTGTTTCTCTCGTTCTGCAAACTGGTAGTGTGGAAGCTAATTACCAGCGGCACTTGGGGCGGCCATGGTACCCAAGACGAAATCCGACGAACTCAATGACACTGCAATCCTAGAACCCCGCAATGCCATTACCAATTGGCACAGACAACGTGCGGAAGATTTCCCGGGCGAGACGTTGACTCGGATTCCTAACGTGACGAGAAAACTGGTCGGTGACCAGTCGGGCCAGAAGCTTAAGCAAAGGTGCAGAGACGCGGGGGATCTTATGTTTGTTGGCAGACGAGCTGCCGCATCACCTATGGAAGCTCGGCCCCGAGGGGGTTTGCTACTGGGGGCAGCGACGGCATTGCGGGACCTGGCTGTGATCCTCGATGCAAGTGGCATTCAGATGTCAGGCGCGGCAGTTGACGCGCGTTGGCGGCACTATCGTTGTTTCCTGGACTTGGCTGGCGAATCAAACGGCTGCCATTTTTCACAATCCACGTTTCTACGCGGCCGGGAAGGACGAGGACCTGAACAAGACCCTCAATGGTTGTTGCAGGAAGGTTGCACAGTCCACCTTTGAAATCAGCGTGCTGTCAAACATGAAAAGGCTCCATCAGGCTAGAACGTCTGGTCGGAAGAGGCCGCTAGACTCTTGATATGTTGTTGGACTGGTGCAGCGCCCGAGCGCGCCTCGGAAAACGGCGCCCGCGTCGCCGCCATCCGACCGTTCGGCTTATCTCCAACGCCCCCCGGCGCCTCGCCGCTGAAACCCAATCTGGAACGAGCTCCTAAAAACAGCAAGCGTCTAGAAAACCCAGCGAGGCCGCGGTTCGATCATCTCTTATTTCCGCGATCTGATGCAGAGGTTTTCGCGCCCTCCAGGGGGGGTCGCGGGGTGCCTCTCGGGGCGCGAGCGCGGTGCGATGTGGAAATTCACGAAGCCCCCCCCCCCCCCCCCCGGCGCGCCTGCGCCAGCGGGGGCGACATTTGACATTCCCGCCCTGGGTAATTTTTCCTCGGTCCAGGCGCAGCTCGTATATTGTCGTTGTTGATCATAACTGGTGCATAATCATTATCGCCACAATCTCTTCCTCCGCTGTCTCCTCCTCCTCCTCCTCCGCTTGCCCCCCCTCTTTGCCGCCCTCATTTTGCAATTCCTCCTCCTCCTCCTTCTCCTCCTCCTTTTTCATATGTTCCCCCTGTCCATATTCCTGCCGCTCCACGTCCTCCGCCTTTCTTGGGAGGGCCCCCCGCTGCGATTTTGGTTCGAGCCATTTCGATCAAGGCGTCATCCGCATCATATTGCGACACCGTTTCAGGCGACGGACATGTTCGCTCAATTCCAGCGAGGGCGCAACAGCGCACGCAAACCGCAACGTGAGCAACAAACAGAAAACTTTATTTCTTAAGTTCATGAAATCATAAGCTTTCTGAGCTTTACAATAAAGCTCGATGAATCTCAGGGCCGCGTTGGACCGCCCCCCGGCCCTGCTCGCTCGCATTCGTCGCGCGCGCCCTCGACCCCCACTCGGCCCGGAGATCGGCCCACAGGACCGGCAACGCACTGACTGCCCATTGGAGCTCTCGTCGAACTCCGCCCGACAGAGGCCGAGCGACATCGCGATACTTTGTCACGAAGCGATGCGCATCATCAAACGGTGAAAGAAACTGACTAAGAGCCAGACCCGCGAAATTAACATTGCCAATGATATTGCTTTCTTGTCTACCTGCAACCACGCCCTCCTCGCGGCGAGCAGGAGTGCCGGTCCTAAAACGCCAGAGCCTCCGAGGCATGGGCCGCGCGACCCCGCGCTTTCCCGCGAAGACCCACGCGAATCTCTCGAGAGACCCGGAGGCCTCGTCGAGCACGTGGAGGGGGGGCCAGCCTGCACAAGCAACTCCGTCGCCAGGGAGAGGAGCTCGTTGGCCCGCTCGGCGGAGGCGGCCAAGCCTAGAAAATTGCCCACGCACCCAAGGTGCACCCCCGAGGCCAAAGGGGGGGGGGAGGGCGCGGCCGCCGACCCGGCGATCCTCGCTCATCCCCAACCCCGCGCGCTCTCTCAAAATATGTCCGTGCACTTTCTCGCGAAATGCAAGGGCGTGAAGCCGCCCCATCGGCAGCGAGGCAAAACGTGGTCTCGCCCACTCGCGCGGCCCGATCGACCGCCTAGAATCGCAGAGACCCCGGGGCGCCGGGCCCCGACGCGCGGGGGCGGGGCAAGAGGGCGGAGGTCCAGGGGGGGCACCGCATTGTAGAATGCACCGCGTGCATCCACGCCCGAGACCCAGAGGTCCTCGCCCTCTGGCAGATCCAAGCAGGCAAGACTGGCACCCAGCGCGAGTTCCACATGTTCAGGGACCTCAAAGTGAAAGTGGCTGAACCGACATTTAACGCCGAGTCTCTGTCTGCCACCCTCTGTCCACACCGTGAAAATACCTGCCTCTCCTCGCGCCTCGACCGATCTCTGGGGCCAGATTGAGCACCCCAGCTCCCGACGTCTGGCGAGCAGACTTAGCCCGGCGCGATGGCTGTCACAGGACAGGGTCGAGATGAGGCTTGGAGAAGCTCGCGCTATCCTTCCGCTCCGCAGCGAGTCGACTTGGCAGAACCTTGCTAAAAAATCAATGAAAAGAAAGGGCCCGTTCCGTCCTAGGAGCCCCATCGAGTGGACGCGGCCGCGCGCCCGCCGCGGGGGGCGAGGCGAAGTCGAAATTCAATGGTGCCAGCGTCTGGGGCTCGTTCCCCCCATGGGCCGAGCTGGCCTGCAACTCCCCGAGGGTCAGGGCAGGCGGAGGGCCGCCAAACTTTGCGCGACAGTCTGCGAGGCGAGAGCGCCGGCCCCTGCGCGCGGCACGGGGCGCCCGAGGGCCGGCGGCCTAATTAAATCATCCTCGCCCGCGCCCGCTGGAACCAGGGTCTCAATCAACTCGCGAGGCAGGGCCGCCCGGCGATCCCGCCCCGCTGCCCGACCGCGCCCGCGGCGGCCCGACGCGCGACGACCAGTGTCCCTGCGCTGGGCCGGCAGCGGCGGCGGCGGCAACAACCTTTGCGATCCGTCTCGCCCGCCGCCTTCTCCAGCGGCGTCGCGCCGCGCAGTGGGGGGGCCTGGGCGGCTCGTGTAGCAGCGTGTCTCGGCGGGAGGAGCGCCGCCCATCATGGCCAGGGCTGTCTGCCCCTCCTGTGGCTTCCTCGCGATCTTCATGACGCTGGGGATCGGCTCCGATTCCTTCGGCCCCTCGTTGAGCAGCTACGGGCGCACTCCGATTGGGGGCCGAGCCCCTGAAGAGGACTCGCACCTCATCCAAGGGCAACTTGGCGCAGGTCTGCAGCTGCCCCTGTCGGCAATCGCACCAGTAGTACCCGATGGGCAGGAGCCTCCGATAGACGATCTCATCGCCCGCGAGGGTGCACGCGTCCATCTGGCCCATCGAACCCCGAATCTCGACGATCACGCAGAGCGTCTTGCGCTCCCACGCGCCGACGACAGCGCCCTTCAGCTGGTAGGTCACGCACTATACTTGTCCGAGCGGGATGGCCTCGCACCAAAGCCAGCGGACGCCTCCTCCCGGCAGTCCACACTCACCGACGACCAGGGACGCCCACTCCCCGCAGCGGTGTCGACCGCCGCTAGGGTGCGGGCGTCGCTCCCACGGTACTACTTCGTCAGATGCGACACCTCGCTGTCGGCCACGAGCGCCGCGAAGACCGAGTAGCCGCTCGCCAGCGTCGCCCCGGGCCGCCACCACGAGCCTCCAGCGAGGGTGGGGACTCCAAAGATCACGACGTCCAGGGCGCCGTCGCTGGCCACCAGGCCGGGGAGGCCCTCGGCTGCCCTCCAACTCCACCTGGGCGGCGGGGCCCCGCGCGCGGGTGCCCCGCGGGCCCGCGGGGGGCCTGTCTGGGGTTGCCGGCGAGCGGCCACGGGCGGTGGCGCGGCGGGCGCCGCCGGGGGAGCCTTCAGCCCAGGACCAGCTGGTGCAGGCCCCGCCACCGCCGGGGGGGCCCGGCACGTCCGCGATGGGCAGCGGCGCGCCCACGACACCTGGGGCCCCAACGGACGGGGGGCTGGGCCCGCGTCCGGGCTTTGGCGCCATCACGGCCGCCATCGCCAGGAAGGGGTCGAACACGTCGCCCAGGATTGGAGCCCTCGCCCCGGCAGCGGTGGTGTCTGACGACGTCCAGTTCCCCGCCAACTTCACGCAGGTCGCGTCGAGCTTGGCCGTCCCCTCGAGCCGCTCGAGGTCGTCGCGGCAACGGTCGATCTGCAGCCTGCGGGACGCCGGGCAGCGGCGGCCCGCGCGCAGCACCGAAGACCACAGCGGGCTGGGCCACTTGTCCTCCTCGTACACCACGGAATCCGCCGCGCCGATCTGGGGGGCGCCCAGATCAGTCGCCCAGCCCTCGGAGCGTCGGCACCCGACCTCCCAGCGATGGTGATACTCAGGGGGCCCCGCAACTGCGCCTGGCACGTGGGCCCACCTCTGGTCATGCTGTGGCCGGGGCGCCATCAACGCACCCGTCGCCGACATCAGGAGGATCCCCTGACCCTCCAACGCAGGACGGCTCATGGCGGAATCGGCACCGGCCCAGGCCCACAGCGGCACCGCACCGGCCCGCGGCCCTCGACGAAACCCACCAGGGCGGCGCCACACTTGCCGCCAACGAAAGCTAGCGAGCCCCTCGAAGGGACAAGCGGACCCCCTGAGCTGACAAGCAACGCGGGAATCCCGGGAACTCGCGACAATAAGGTGCGGCAGACCACGGCGGCACCTCAGGACAATGGGTGGCTCAGAAGAGCGAGAAGAGCCTCACTCCGCGCACCGCCCCCGTGTGAAAAAGCCCGCCAGAGCCCGCACCCATCCACGGCTGGACACTGCCGAAGGTAGCCACAATCGCACAAGCTCTTGAGTTTAAACGGATACGGAATGCGGCCACTCGCTGATGCTTCGATGTTTTCTTCAGTAAACAGATACCATGTTTGAGACAAGTGAAAGAGAATGTTAGAGAGAAGGTTGAAGATAAAGTTCAAGAAACCTGTGTGCACCATCACAGCCGACATGTGCAGAGTCTTACACGCCGAGCCCACCAGGCCAGTGGTGGCAATACGTGACACAGGGATATCTGCGAACATTCTCGTGTTTCACGTTCCCCGTTCTCGTGCTGGAGGCACGATCGCTGAGACAACAGTGCGTCTGGCGGAGTGGTGGACGACTACCACCACGCTTTCGTAGCAGACTCGACAGGGGCGCGAACATCTCTTTGCACACATTGATTCCACCGCGGCCTTGGGGAGTCTGCGATCACATGCAGTAGGTTCAGAGGCCTCAGAGAGCCAGAATGGACCTGGCTAGCACTTCCACAAGTTCCTGCTCACTACGAGGCAATGGGCCCCCTCCACCTTCATGGGCTCCTACAACGGGCTCTCGGGGTCCTGGTCAGCCCCCCTCATGGCTAAGCGTAGGGACTACGTCACGTCTTCAGTGGCCGCCGCCGTACTATCTCAGGGAGTGGACAGCGTGGTCGACCTCATGGTCACAAGCGAGGACCATCAAGCTGTGTGCGCGCATATAATGCCTTCCACCATCTAGTGTCATGCAGCATGCAGCATCGCACGGTGACGCATCACGCATAGCACGAGCCAACTCTCTATCGGCCAGCCGAATCCCAGGGCCACCAAGGAGATCTTAGGGAGGTCTGCGGACGACGGCGAGTGCCAGGAAGGGCGAGGAATTAGAAATCGGAGGAGGGCCAGTCGAGAGGCCCCAGAATTCCTCCACAGAGGCCCCAGAGAGCCCTCCAAAGAGACCCGAAGAAGTACCCCTGTGGCCCACGTCAGCGTCGTCGTCGTCGCTGCCGCCGTCGTTGTCGTCGTCGTCCCCCTTCAGGGTCGGCGGCACTGGCCGTAATGCCTTCGCAATTGTGAACGTTTTCAAACTTGGCGTTTCGGCATTGGGAGGAAGGGGGGTGGAGGGGGGGTCTGGCTCTGGACCTCTGCTTACTGCAACTGCTTGCAACAATGCGTCATACGGGGGAGACTCCACCTGCTCGAAACAGGCGCCAAAACAACCAAGACCTACTCCATGGGGAAGGGGAAGGGGGGGTGCGAAACAATGAATAAGAACACGACGACATTAGGAGGTTGGGATCGGAGGAGGGCCAGTCGAGACGACGGCGGCACTCCCCAGCGCTCGTCGTCCTCTCTGGGCCTCCTGGACGCTTCTCGCCGCCACGGCCAGATCCGCCCCGAAGCACGGTGCAGAACCCTGCCAGATCGTTGGACACCAACTTGTTTCGGTCGCGATCGGTCGTGGGGCGGTCGCGGGACCCGCGACCGCACCGCGACCAATCGGGGAGACGTAAGACTCGGGTTCGAGGGACTCGGGTTGGCCTGACGCCGCCTTCAGGAAAACGACGAGACCAGGTCTGAAATCTGACGCGAGCTCCTGCTGCGAACACCCCACGAAAACGCGCCGTCAAAATCTAAGACGGCCCATCAAAACATGTCCGCAACCCCGAGTCCTTGGCGAACTCGAGTCTGGGGTCCGAGTAGATGAGGCCGTGGGATCGCACCGCATCGCCAATGCATCGGCGACGCATCGGCGACGCCGGCCGGCGTGACGAAAGCCTGGCTCCACGTCGCGCCGCATCGCCGATGCATCGGCGATGCGGCGCGATCCTCCACCCCCATCCACTCCGACCCCATCTAGGAGGCCTGGATAGACGCCCCCGACAATCAGGAGCCTGGACCTCTCAAAGCCGCCAGCGGTAGAGGAAGAACCATATGAATACTGAGACGACCGTGGCGTTTGCTAAGCGGGTAGGGGGATTAGAAGTGGACGCTACGGTGGGTCATATCTGGCCATCTCTCGGCGGCGAGCGAGGGGAGGAATTGAGAGAAGGGGAAGGCCTTCTCAAAGGCGGCGGGTTTTCTTAGAAGCCCTCGCGCCTTCTGAGAAGTGTTCTGTGTTTTCGGGGAAGGCGTAGACCACTTCTTAGAAGGACTGGGACTTCCAAGCCTTCTGAGAAGGCCTTCTCCTCCTCGCTTCCCCCTAGGGCTCGCCGCCGAATCTGGCCCCATCCACTCCGACCCCATCTGGGATGCCTTGACATCGGGGGCGACGATGGTGGCGAATAGCCCAGGGGAGGGGGGAGCAATACATGTACCCAGGGGCGCCGATGGTCCGTGTCTTCGGCGAGGCTCCCGGAGGGATACGTATAGTCCCCACCCCTGGGCTAGTCGCCCCTATCATCGCCTCCCAAGACACGGCCCAGACGCGCTTCCCCGAGCCCACACCGCGCGCGGGGCTCCAGGCGGGCAGGGGCCTCCTCCGCCCGGAGAGCTCCGGCCGACCTCTGCGGGGCGGGGGAAAGCGGCCCACCCCGCCGCGCGCCCGCCGCGGCCGAGGGCTGCCGGAGGCCTCCCGAACCAAACCTCGAGGGTCGAACTTCGAAGCCTCAGGTCGCTGGGCATGTTCGCCCTGCCGGGGCCTCTGAGAGGCTCTTCGTGGCCACGGCGGAGTCCGCCTCGGAGAGTTGGCCAAAGCGCACCCCGTGATGCGTCCGGGTCTTCACTTTTGACCCCCAGGCCCAGAAATCCTCGCGTCCTCATTTTCTATATTTCGTCCTCCTTCCTCTTCCTCCTCTTCCTCCTCCTCCTCCTTTTCCTCCTCCTTCTCCTCCTCTTCCTCTTTTTCCTCCTCCTCCTTTTCCTCCTCCTCCCCCTCCTCCCCCTCCCTCCTCCTCCTCCTCCTCCTCCTCCTCCTCCTCCTCCTCCTCCTCCTCCTCCTCCTCCTCCTCCTCCTCCTCTCTCCTTCCTACCGCGCGGAAAAAGCAAAGACGGAAGATCCTCCTCCTCCTCCGCCTCTTCCGCCTCCGGTAGATGTTGTGTAATGTTTTGGCGTTGGAGGGGCCATCGCCGGGCCCCGGGACAATCAAACAACAAAATTAAGCGAATGACCCAACCAAGTGCAGCTGCGAGTGCCGCGAGACATGTGGAAGCAGAGAGGGGTATAACGCAAAACAGAGGCGTGCGTGTGAAGGACGGAGCGACGTTACTGATGGGGTCGCAAGGGTCAGCCGCACGGGTTACATTTGGATGGAGCACGTCACGGCTGATCTGAACGTCTGCCGGCCCGCAGAAGCGCGCGGTATGGGGAGCAGCAAGCGGCGGGAACTTTGGGGAAGCCCCTGTAGGGCCACGAAAGGTGCAAGCGGTGTACCACAATGGGCGCTGTCACGCATGCGACTCCTGCCGACTGGGCATCCGGTGGAGCTCCCTGGGGGGCCGCGTAACGTGCGAGGGGTGCGCAACAATAAGCATGCGATTCCCTCCGCTGGGGCCTGCGGTGGAGCTCCCTATCGGGCCACGAAGCGTGCGCGGAGTGGCCGACATGGGCGCGGTCACGCATGCGATTCTGGCCGATGGGGCCAAGTCGAGCTCCCTATGGGGCCACGTGTGAAAGGTGTCGACACGGTCGCGGTCACGCATGCGATTCTTGCCATTCGGGCCATCGATGGAGCTCCATGCGGAGCCACGAGACGCGCGAGAGATGCGCCGAACAAACTGTCTGGAGAACGCAGCCACTGGGGCATCAGGCGGAGCTCCTCGCGAGGCCCCGAAACGCGGCGCGAGGGGCGCGGGAGGGAGAAGGGAGAGACAGAGGGAAACCGATCGTACTCAGCGCAACGAGTCTGCGTTCCATCGGATCGCCCTCGAACTCTACCGCCGCAAGGCGGAGATCAGGTTCGCCGCGATGTGCTCTGGCGGCAGGGCGGGAAAGCTGACAACTGCGCAAACGGGCGCGAGCAGCGGCAAAGGTGAAATCTGGCGGCGCGGAATCGAGCGACCCGATGCTGCGGCAGAGGTGCGTCGCCGCGAACAGAGCTCTTGGACGACGTCGGCGCCGAAGCGACCAATGACGACGAGAGTGGCGGGGTCGTCAGGGATCGCCCGCCCGATGGTGCAGGAGATGGCCCGAACCATGCGACAGCGTGACATGTAATGCTTGAAGTCGTCGTTGCATGGATCCACTGCTCCACAAGCATGAGCGCCAGGACGATCGCACGGGCCGCTTCCACCTCGAGCACGACAGTCCGGGCGGCAGCCAAACGCGCACGGGCTCTGTCCAGCTGGATGGGCGACGCGCCGGGAAGCGAGCCACCCTCCTGCCCGAGAACCCGCCGTGGCCCGGGAGAATGGCGCGCGGAAGCAGCTGGCGACGAGCCCCCAATGAATCTGCGCGATATCATCTCCGAGGCAAGGCCACCAAGAGGAAGGGCGAACGGCGCAGAGCTCGCGCGCGCGGTCGCCGCCAGAAGCACGCAACACAGCATCGCAGCGCGCCGATGCCGATGACGAACTCCAGGGGGGCGGGCGGGGGGGCGCGCGGGCGCTGCAGAAGAGCAACGCGCGCCGCAATGGAGTAACGATCGCGGGCGGCTCCAGCAGCAGCGTCGGCCAGATCTCCCACGACAGCCGG